TACTCAACAGGTACGCAACACACGCGGACGGCAACACAAGCTACTTCCGCAGATGGAACAAGGACCACAGAGCTCCAATCTGTGAGTTTGGAGAAACAGTTCAGTACCTACTCCCAACAGTCAAACAACTTCCAAAAATGGAACAACGGTTCTTCAAAGCAATTTGGCTCGGAAGAGACACATCAACAGGAGAAACTCTCCTTGGCATTGGCAACAAGGTTGTCAGAGCAAGAACAATCAGACGCATGCCGAAACCTGACAAATATGACAAACAGATGTTCGACATCATCACAGGACATTCAATGATACCACCACCAACATCACAAGCACAGCTACAGCCACCGATGGTCTTCCATCCACCAAGAAGACCACCAGCAACAATGGAGAAGCAGACCTCGACAGAACAAGCACCATTGACGACAGCGCAGACTAACACACCACAACTTCCACCAAAAGCAATCGCAGACACGCCAATGGCAACAGCAACACCAGCACTGGCCAGTTCACCAAGGGCCACAGCACCAACAAGTTGTCACAGCAGACAAGCACTGCCTTCGCCAACGAAGAGACGTGAGGCAGACGATATAGCAGAAGGAAGTTCAGCAAAGCAACAACGAACAAACACACAGCAAGAAGCACCAGCCCGTCCAGAGCCAACACCAGAACAGTCGAAGAGTAGACTCAGGATCACAAAGGTCACCATACAAACCAAACAAGGAGAAGAGATCACAGCATACTCTTGCGAGGATGCCACAGAACAACAAACAGAGAGGATCCTTCTTGAACCCATCGTGAACAACACCGATGGTTTGGACAAACAGAAGACAATTGAAGGAATGAAACAGGAAATCCTCTCCATGAAGCAACAACAAGTCTACATGGAGGTAGACATCAACACACTGACACCAGAACAACGCAAGAACATCATCCAATCACGCTGGGTCCTACGCGACAAGGGCAACAAGGTCTGAGCAAGAATTGTCGCAAAAGGATTCACAGAAACAATTAACGACTTGGATGACATTTATGCGTCAACACCAATCTTCTGTGTGTTGAGAACACTCCTCACACTAGCATGCAACAACGGATGGATCGGCATCACAGGAGACATCTCCACAGCATTCTTACATGCAGCAGCAGCAACAGCGGACCTCTACATGTACCCGCCAAAGGAGTTCTACAACCCGGAGGACAACATCGTGTGGAAGCTATTGAAAGCAATTTACGGACTACGCAGCAGTCCAAAAGCATGGCAGAAACATCTGTCAGAAGTCCTTCAACAGATTGGACTCCACCGCAGCACAGCAGAGCCCAACATCTACATGACAACAACACGCAACTGCTTTGTCCTGGCGTACGTCGACGACCTTCTTTTTCTTGGCGAGGAGGAGACCGTCAACAAGATCTTCAAGGCGATTCAACAACAGCTTCTTCTACGACCAACAGGTACACTATCACCAGGAAATGCAGTGGCATTCCTTGGCAGGAACATTACCAATAGAGGAGATCACTACGAGATTAGCTTGTCAGATGAGTACGTCACAACACTTCTGACAGAAACAAAACTACAAGACAGCAAGCCAGCACCAGCACCCGGCACATCGGCTTTGAAAGCAGCAACAGCAGACCACGATCAAGTTCTTTCAACAGAAGAACATTCACAATACAGACGAGCAGTCGGGAAGCTTCAATGGATGACCTACACAAGACCCGACATCAGCTATGCAACAAAGGAGCTAGCAAGAGCACTGCAGCAACCAACAACAGCAGATCAACAAAAGCTCAAGCACCTTCTCAGATACATCAAAGGAACCAAAGATTACAAACAGATCATTCGACCAACGGTGAAGATTCCAGCAAAGGCAATTCCAGACATCAACGTCTACGTGGATAGCGACTGGGCAGGATGTCCTACAACAAGAAGATCCACAACAGGATTTCTCATCACATTGCTTGGAACAACAATCAACTATGGCAGCAGGACACAAGCAACGATAGCACTCTCGAGTGCAGAGGCCGAGCTATATGCCATTGCAACAGAAGCACTCCACATCAGAAGTCTCTTGATCGAGCTTCTCAGTATCAACAAGATCAACATCAAGATCCATACAGATTCATCAAGTGGTAAAAGTATGGCAGCAAGAATTGGATCTTCAAGAAAAGCAAAACACATCGAACTCAAACATTTGTTCATACAACAACTGATCTCACATGACTACGTGAGACTCATCAAAATCCACACAAACGACAACCCAGCAGACATATTGACCAAATATGTCTCGACAGAGACTCTCCAACGACACCTGCAACAAGCTGGACTCAGCATCCAGCTTTTCAACACTCACTGAAGCAACAGACAAACAGTTTCACCAGCAGCTTGTAACAAGCAAGCAGCAACATCAGCAAGCACCGCAGCGCGCGCACTAAACATACAAGTTTCACTACTCTCAGCCATGGGATCAACAATGGTTGATTGATCGTTCGCTGTAACTACATCATG